GCACACACTGTCAGAGCTGTGTGAGATCACTACCATCCTGCTTTTGTGGGGGTGGGTAGGGGTGTTAAATAATAATGATTTTTTTGGTTTTGTTTTTTCCCCCATAGGTTTTTAACATTCTAAAAGCTCTTTATTCCAAAGATACTACAAGCTAGTCAGTGTATTCAGTAGGTGTAATGTATTGTAAGTTGCTTCAGAGGTATTGCAAGTATTACATACAACAATAATAAAACAGTGCATTGACATAAATAAGGAAATTTACTTTTGGTACTTAAGTACTTTTAAAAGCAAGTACTTCTGTACTTTTACTTAAGTAAAAATCTGTCTTTACAACTTTTACTTGTAATGGAGTAATATTTGACCAGCGGTATCTGTACTTTCACTCAAGTAATGGAGTTGTGTACTTTGTCCGCCTCTGAAATGTTTAACAGCTTTGTCAGTGGATAAAACACATTATCTGTTTTCAAATGCTTTGAACTTAGTTATGCATAAATGTTATGCATATACAATGAGTATAATATAACGTAATATAATGAGTAAATGTTGTGCATGTAATAATAGCACATAGGCTACTGTATGTGTGTGTGTCATAAATTATATTACTTGTGTGGATGTCCCAGGGGTGTCCAGGAGGGCCACTGTCCTGCAGAGTTCAGCTCTAACCCTAACTAAACACACCTGAAGCAGCTAATCAAGCTCTTACTAGGCATACTAGACACTTGCAGGCAGGTGTGTTGATTTGGAGCTGAACTCTGCAGGACACGGCCCTCCAGGAGCGAGTTTGGAGACCCCTGATATATCCTAACAAAAAAAATGTATCAAACATTACTTTGGTTACTAGCATGTATCCAGAGTAGTACCATGGTATTCTTTCAAATCATCCATTCGTTAAGAAATTTCTACATTATACAATACATTTGTTGGACATGATCTGTATTTTAAAATAATTTACAAATCATATAAAAGTTACCGCAGACAAGGAAACAACTGTATCCACATTGTTCGGGAAAAACAAAACACTTCTCCTTTCAGTTAAACTGAACTGCTGAATCTGCAAGTGTAGTCTTGCAAGATATCAAAATATACCACTGCTAGCTTCCAAACACAGATAACGATACCGGTTACGAACATAATATCATCTGCTTATGGATATTTGTGTTCGGAAAACATTTAACACACTGCCGACTTCGGTCTTTACAAACATGCAGCACACAAACCCAGTGCTGCAAACATGAATAAAACACGACTTCATTCCACTTTAGTTGCCTTTCCCGAGGAGATTCGAAGAAATGTTTCTCTGAAGTCGCCGCTGAATGATGCACTAAAGCGGTTCAACAGTTGTCCAAAAGTGTCTCGGCTGCCAAAGTTGACGCCCTGTTGAAATACGACAAATCGTGAAACAAACATCCTACCGTGTGACAGATGAAGCACGTTAGATCGGCTTCCTCTCTGTGAAGCGCTGAATTGTTGTGACTGACTCGCTCTCGATCACCCGTTACTCTCTAACGTTACTCATAAACTCTTCCCCTTCCCCCTCAGTCCATCCATCCTGCCCGAATCCCTTTTCTCCTGCGCGACCATGAGCCATATTGAGGATTTACTCATCATGACTTAAACAGCGGAACTCAGACCTGATAACCAGGAGAGTCTTTACTACATTTCATAGTTTTAGCCTACCTCTGAGACAAAGTGAGCTGCTTGAAATTGGCCAAACTCTGATCCGCATGAAAACCCCTCCCGACCATCTTTCAGGATTTTCCACTTACCCGTCCTCGTCCTGTAGTTTACAGTGCCACACCCCCATCTCTCCCTCTGTTGCCTCCCTCTCCGCCGTGGCTAGACTGGAAACTCAAACAGTACGGAAGCAGCAGTTCTCTGTTCTTGTTCGCTCTAAATAACGAGTATTCAGTGAATTTTGAGCTGTTAACAGTTAACCAGCCCTAGCTTGTGTTGTTATCTGCAGCTGTTCTCTAATCCACTCCTTTAATATGTAGGTCAGGTTCAGCTGTGTCCTCTGTCTCATCAAACAGCGGATTACTTGTGAAATGTATATGCCGTAGATGTGTTGTTTTGCTGTTTTGGGGTCAGTGTTTCCGACAGGATTTAATGAGACTGTGGGATGCCAGGATTGGGGTCATGCTACTACTATGTAATGTTTTTTTTTTTTTTTAAGTTAAATGCATCAGTCTCTTGCATTTTAAGAGTAAAATTAGCAGGCCATACCTTTTTCATTGACAAAACTGAACAGAATAAAAATGTGTTTGCTCTGCATTGACTTGTATCTGGACTTTAGTGGTGTGCAGTGTTGTTCTGAAAAGAAGAGGCAACGTCCCACAAAATAATGTTCTTTTTAGCAGCATCATATGACCCTTTTAACAATGTACTTAATGTTCTGTTTATTAAAAAAAGTATAAATCTCATCAATTTTTTCATTTTTTTCAACATTTATTCAAAAATAATAACTCAAGGCAGTAACAATTTAAACAAAATGTTTTATTTGTGAACTGATGGTCAGCTATTCTTTTTAATAGTAAACTTATTTTCAGATTATCAGTCATCAATTTATTGCATGAACTAATCACCAATCATGCCCAGTCATATCCAGCCATACCACGATGGAGGCATTGCCTCCTCTCACATGACTTTCCCCATTCATCCTCTATTACCCCCCTCCAAACCCACCGCATGCTTTAGTGCAGTGGTGGCCAACTCATCAATCACGATCAACTGGTAAATTTGTATCACTGTCTCAGTAGCTCCTGAAAATAACAGAAAAATTAGTACAAAAAAATAAATTTCTCCAGTCTTTGTACTGTATTTTTCTGTAACTTTACCCTCTGCTATTGCTTCAGAAGTGCTTTATACACTTTTTGATGTAATATTTCTGTTTATTTATTCTTGTACTATGGATTATTTTGTCGTCCAATTTTTTCAGGAGGCATTTTCTCCTAAGGAAACAAACAATTTAAATAATAATAATAATAATGAAAATAGTTTTATTTTAAATGCAGTTGAGTTTGAAGAGGCAGGTGTGTTTTAAATATATGGTGTACAGCAGGGGTGTCCAAAATCAGTCCTGGAGGGCCACTGTCTGCAGAGTTTAGCTCCAACTTGCCTCAACACACATGCCTGGAAGTTTCTAGTATGCTTAGTAAGACCTTGGTTTGCTGGTTAAGGTGTGTTTTATTGGTGTATGAGCTAAACTCTGTAAGACAGTGCCCTCCAGGAGCAGGATTGGACACCCCTGCTGTACAGTGTATAGTGGATCTTCAAGTGTACATAATTTGGCTATTTCTTTGCACTGTCTGTCAGCTTTATTAAATTTATTTGATCTGTGTCTTATGACAGTGACGTAATGTAATTCTGCAAAAACTGAAGGACACAAGTACTTTGGATCTGGTTCAGAGCAAACAAGATGACGATGGTGAAGTCAATAAAGCGCATATCAGATGAACAGATGTAAAAAAAAAAAAAAAACAACGAATGGAGCATCTCTCATGCCCCAGTAAAGTCAAACAACACCCTTGGGATAAGCAATGCATTTATGAACACTTATTGCATTAAATTATATCACCCAGTGTTACAAAGCTAGAGTACATGTTTTTCATTAGAAGAATAAAATCTAAATCTACGTTTTCCAAAAAAGTGTTTTAGACAAATGTAACACAATAAATGTAGCATTGTTACCCTCTTTTGGTACTAAGCCATTTTGTGAATTTGATTTAATTTTGTTTTCTTTTTTATTCTCTTTAAAAGTTTTTAATTTTAATTGTGATTTCGACCGACAGTTGCTTTGCCAAAGCAACATCGCAAAAACAATGTGAGAGACCTTTCACGTTATAAGAAGTTCCAAAAACAAGTTTGGTTTATTATGAAACTGTGACGGGACAAATTAGATGGGTCGCCACAGTCTAGGCAATTAATGGGACACTCTGGGGGTCCTAAATACACAAAACTTGTAAAACGTGTAAAAACTTTCCTCACTCATTGTGCATTATGATGCATTAGTTGTGCATCATCAGTCCTTACACATAAAGAACTGGTTTACACTTGGATCCTGTGTGAAATGGGTGGTTTTTCAGAATGGGGAGAGCAAATGTAAAAGTTTACAGACCCCATGAAATGTATATATGGTTTCTGTGGCTTTTAGTTCCTGTGTAGGTGTACAGCTAAGTTGACAAAGAAAGCTTTTAGCAGATAACACATTTCAAAATTCCAGTCTTACTCTCCCTGAAAAACTGACCAAAAATGTTGCTGACTCTCATGCTCTTACAGGTGTGTCCAAATTTATGCACAATAAAAAGCTCTCTTAAATGAGAACATTAATCCTGTAATATTAGCTGCCACTGACAAGCAGCAACAAATAGAAAAACTCGGTTCATGGCTGTGAAGTAAACCAAATCCTATAGTCTGATTAAACCTTAGCCCTTCACTGTGTCTCACCTTATTTCAAAAGAACATGCAGTTAAACAGGGGTTCTTAAACTCAGAGCCTCTCCAGAAAATCACATCTTGGATGTCTCTCCCAGCTAAATGAACTCATCGGCTGATCGGTAGTCCACACCATAGCTACAATGACAATGACACAGAGGAACAACACTAAAAACATTCAGAATCCACCTTGCTTTAAAGAGCTTGAACTTGTGAATCATATTTAATAGTTCCACGTTCAATAAAACATTTGCAATTGGTTTGTAATTTTTTTTTAATGCATGTTTGAGCTGGGTTTTGTTCAGCTTCTGGCATTTCGAGTGCTTCAAAAAACTGAATAATTTTGCGACGTTTGTTTCTCCCATCACTAACCTCTTGTTTATCGGACTGCTAAGACTCGTGCTGTTGGTCTGAATCTGTGACGTATCGAATAATGCCATCTCAACAGCTGTTCATGAGCACTAGTGATTTATAACACACTTTACGCTAAGCATTTAAAAACGTACTGTGTACACTACGTTCACCAGAGTCACAGTGTTCTGGACACCAGTTTTTTAAGAATTCATTAAAAATGAATCTAAGCATCAGTGAGTGTATATTAGCACTGTTTCTAGTTTGATAGGTTCTGAAGCAGCGTTTGGACCCGGGAACTGTGACGCATGACGTCAGACCTAACAAACAACCGTAAGCAGCGTGGCTGTGATTAGGCCATAGGCACGAGGCCACTGACATACGAAACAGCTCAAAATTACACAATCATGACTCCAGGGAAGTGGGGCAACAGATCGAGACAAAGAGAGAGACAGAGACTAGCAGAGGACAGACAGGATTAAAGAACAGACCATCTGTCCATCCCTCATTGCTCAAACAAAACCAGCAAACAGCCTCACGTTACTGACACATTCCTGTCCTCTTTGGCTCCACATGTATGTGCAGGATTCAGTTGGTGACTGAGCAGTGTCAGGCCAGTAGCGGTGGAAAACACAAAAGTCTAAAATATCTTGTCTGAGATTTGCATTAGTGTGTGTTTGTGTGTGTCTTTGGCATAATCACTAGTAAACCGTTTATCGTGACTGTGTGTCACGCTTGTGTCACAAGATTGCTGTCATTTGATTTCCCTGCTGCTCTGCATGCTTGTAAAACAGGTTGTGCATATTTCAGCGTTGCTGTATGCAGGGAAAATAAGAAAGACCAGATCTGTTATATGTGCAAACAAAAACGCACGCACGCACACTCGCTCACACACACACTCACTCACACACACACACACACACACACACACACACATACGCATGCACGCTCGCTCACACACACACACACACACACACACACTTTAATAGCGGTGGCACCTGATTATGAAAATATATTATTTGAATAATATATATTATTCTTAAAAAGTCAGATGTTCTGTGTTTTCTAAAGGCCATTCACACTTCACCGACAGATGCAGCCGCTTGCTGGGTTTGTCTGATCAATGTGTTACTCCTGTCAGCGCTTGCTTTCACAGATCGTTGAATCTGTGTTTATGGGGTCTTGTTGGATCTGCGTCTGTCAGTGCAGTGTGAATTGGGCTTTAAATTAGGCCCTGACTCCAGTTCAGTTCTTAAGTGATCACCACTAAATCAAATTAAACCACCAGGGTGGAGTCCAAGCTAGTCAAAGCCCACCACAATCGCATTGTGTTTTCAGTTCTAGACAACAGCAGATCAAAAGCTGTAGGAGTTTTATTGTGGTATCTGTTTATATTACTTGCTGACTCCATCATACTCAATATTACATGCCTGGAAACTGGAAAGGCAAACTGCTCAATTTGATCTAGAAGAACAGGAAAGGTCGACTCTCCTGGCTTTTTTGTAGCCAAAGGTGATCAGAGGGAGACGCACCATCATGATGAAATCTAAAGGATCCTTTCTCATCCTCACCGGCTGTCTGCCTTTAGCAGGTAGGATGCATCTAAAACCAGAGATTATTATCATTCAACCAAAGAAACGTGAGATACTGATGATGTTTCTGTCACACTGCTGAAGATAATATGCTGGGCTGGTGTAGTGCTGAATGTAGGTAAGATCTCAGCAGTGATTTGCTTTGAGCTGGAGCTGTTTTCTAATTAGCTATGTAGGTTTAAAAATGTTCTTACGTCTAGTGTTGTATGTAGCACCATGGTCCTGCGAGACACTGTATGTCCCCACATGTAACGGAATGACAATAAAGCTCAACTTGACTTGACTCTTAAAGAAAAAACGTGAGCTGTTTTCTAATTGTATAAAGCATCACTTTGAGTTTTTGCCATTCAGGGTCTATTGAGTGAGAATACAGACTAAGATTTGGATATATTCCTAAATTCATCAATATCTTTCTAGTTCACATGCTCGGAATGAATCAAGCACAACTCTATCCCATGACAATTGCTAAAGATTTCAATACATTGATTGCATGTGGCTATTTAGACGTTAAGATTAAATCTAGTGTCCTCTAGAAGAATTTTGACTTTTTTAAAGCTACAAATGACCCCAGGTCTCATCTACTTTGGCTCTCAATTCTGTGTCAGGAGAAACCTTTGATTTTAGCTAAAAGAGGTGTAAACACGAAAGCCTGCTGGTAAGAGCTGTGCAGGTAAACCTCACTCCCCTGATCTCAAGAGGTGCACTAGTGACTGACGCTGCAGTCTTTAGCCTCCTTGTTAGTGCGCCCACCTCCCATGCTGGTTTGAGTCATGAGGATATTACAAAAGCATGGGTGAGGAAGGGTGAATGGGATCAGTACATGACCTAGGTCTGACTCAAACCCTGCTCCCCATGTGTCAACGGGACACACAATCCACTGCAGCACAGCTCTGCCACCAGGGGCCAGTTGCATAAACTTAGGGCCAGATTTACAAACAGCCAAAATCTGGCGATTAAAAAATGACTGTCAATATTTTCTAAAGATGCACAGTGAAAAATTAGCGCTGAAAAGTTGCGTGCAAAACTAGTCTAAGCATTTCATGTAACCAGCAACAGATGCTGATTCTGAGACATTCACTGACCATCCTTGCTCTATCTTGCAGCGTTGTCCTTGACATGCTACACATGCATGTTTCCAGCCATCTCTCCGCTGGACTGTGTGAAATTCCCCCAGGAATGTCCGGTGGGCCAGAGATGTCTTGCCAGCACAGCTGTAGGAGCAAAAGGTCAACTGAACCAAACACTGCACAGAGAGTCACTGTACTATTGTACTGGCTGATTAACAAATGGAACAAAAGAATGAATCAGCACAGTCTGTGGGAATGTGTGATACTGGTTTAGTTTACTTTCCCACACCATCACGCACACACAAGATGCATCTTGTGTAGAGGTTTTCTATCCCGGTGGGGACTTAAACCTGAATACACACCAACCTATCTTGCAGCGTTGTCCTTGACATGCTACACATGCATGTTTCCAGCCATCTCTCCGCTGGACTGTGTGAAATTCCCCCAGGAATGTCCGGTGGGCCAGAGATGTCTTGCCAGCACAGCTGTAGGAGCAAAAGGTCAACTGAACCAAACACTGCACAGAGAGTCACTGTACTATTGTACTGGCTGATTAACAAATGGAACAAAAGAATGAATCAGCACAGTCTGTGGGAATGTGTGATACTGGTTTAGTTTACTTTCCCACACCATCACGCACACACAAGATGCATCTTGTGTAGCGGTTTTCTATCCCGGTGGGGCCTTAAACCTGAATACACACCAACTCATGGGGACTTGTGTCACTAAATTTAGGTCCCCATGGGGAAACAAGCTTATAAATCATACAGAATGAGTTTTTTTTTTTTTTTTGAGAATGAAAACATGTAAAAAGTTTTCTGTGAGGGGTAGGTTTAGGTGTAGGGTTGGTGTAGGATGATAGAAAATACAGTTTGTACAGTATAAAAACCATTACGCCTATGGAGAGTCCCCACAAGGATAGTAAACCAGACGTGTGTGTATGTGCGTGTGTATGTGTGATGAAGGTGGTAGGAAAGCAGTAGTGAAGGTTTTTTCAGAGTATGAATTAGAGGACTTTCATGTTTTTAAGGCAAGTTCTGCACATGTGAGTAACAGGGTGTTCCCTAATAAGCTGTCTGGACCTGATTCTGCAGAACCTGATTTAACACTGCGTAATACATTTAGTTTTGCAAGTCGGGCGCTTGACTATTAACAATGTCTGTACATACAGTAGTCAACATTTGCAGTGGATCAAAAAAGTTAATTAAAGTTGTGCTAAGACAAGAATGCTTTTAGGTTTTAGGAAAACTTTGATGAAAGGTTTTAATCCACTTCAAATGTTGACTAGTGTATTGTGACTTTATTGTCATTCTAGCCATATGAAATAGATGATCTGAAAAATATGTAAAATTATCAACCAGTTGATTTATTTCTCATCATGTGTGTGGCAGGAAAGCCTGTGGCTGTTAATGGCACAATAATAGACCAGCATGCAGCATGTTGTAGCTTGTTCAAATATAATGACACAAATATTTTTTTCCCATGTGCTGTTGACTGTAATGTGAATATACCTGGTTTACTTCATAATAACTGCCTCAAATGCAACACCTGAATATCTTGGCAAATATCGCAACGGCCTGGAAACTTTGTTTTCCAATGGATTGGCAAAAGACCTGTAATCCTGGTACTTCTGAACGTTGTATCTGTTTACATAAACTTTTCTTACTAGAAACTTCACAGAGGCTTATGTGATGCTCAAGGGACAAAGTAGTTTAGTTTGTCTCAAAAAAAGTGACTGAAAAAAAGACTACTTTATTACCTGTGTGTCATTCAACATGCAGGCAATTAACACTGAAAAGATGCATTTCAAAGTGTGAAATTCAGAATAAAAACCAAGCGACAAACAAAATCTGAAAATAGGTCATAAGTATTGTAATAAAAAAGTAAGCTAAATTCACGTGCACAATTGGACTATTTCTTTAGTATTTTGTTGGTGCAAAATGAGTACTATCAGGTGCTGAAACTGTAGTGAATAGCAAACTGTGATCTCAGGCCCTTGATTGGGACGGCCTGCATCAGCACTGAGACGTGATGCTTGTGTGTGTCCAGGGTCAGTGTGCATCGTCCTGTACGAGCGGAGCTGTGCCCTGCCATCACAGTGTGACCTGAGAGGAGAGAAACAGGCAGCAGGAGTTTCCTTCAACTACACGAATGAGTGCTGTGACACGGATCTCTGCAACACTGCTGCACCCATCAGCTCCCCCCGCTGGACCGGAGCAGTGCTGAGCCTCTGCGGTCTGGCCCTCCTGCTCCAGCTGGGATGAGGGAGCTCTTAATCTAACAGGAGGTGCTCACTACATTATCAGCAAAGTCTGAGATTCAGAAACACCATGACATACCAACACCATCCGTTTGCAACCAATGCATCAGCTCAAATTTTAAATGCACACAAGACTGAAACTATAAGTCCATCTACGCACTTTCTTGCAGACGCCATGCTTGAAAGGAAGTGCCTGCAACCACACACACACACACACACACACACACAGTGCATTAAAGCTCATGAGAATGAGTCATGTAGTTACTCAATGCTCAAAATAATGAAACTCTTCTTCTAAACAGTTAAACTGAGTTTAAACAGCTGCTAAATCTGACAGCTAATTTGCTTTGTCTTATTTTTTTGGTTGCTGCAAACGTTAATGACAGTAACTTTTTTGTAATTTTTGATAATTCTAGAAAAATAAATGCATATTTTTCATATTAATAGGCCATGTTCTAGAGGCTGTTCCATTCCTATAGAGCACAACAGTGTTTTCTGTCCTTTTTTCAGGATTTGTTTCTCAAGTTTTTAAATCTGTTTTACTCTATGACTTAAAATAATCTTAAATATGTTGTGCTTTATTTAAACAATTTATTTTTAAATCTTAAGTTATATTAAACCTGAAATATCTAAACATGAAGGATCAAGAAAAAATGTACTCAGCATTTCATTTTTTTTATTTCAACTTTATTATAAACTGTATTGCTGAATAACAATTTTAGAAATGCAGGAAGAAAATGACTTTGTTGTAACATCCATCTAATCAATAAAATCCTCACTAATCAATATTTGCACTGATGTTGTGTTGTCCATTTGAGTGCAGAGTAAGATTTGGAAATGACTATTAAGTGGTTAAGAGGAAGTGAACCCAGAAGTGCACGGGGCGAGGCATGATTTATACCATTTATAAAAATATTTTAGAAACAGGCTGAATCAACTTAAAGAGGGCAGACTAGAGCTTAAAACATCACTGGTTTCCTCTTTTTCAGAAGACAACAAATGTGCATATATTTCAAAACTCTCCCCACACAATAAATAAGAGTGTTTTCAAAGTGGACATTGACAGTGATATTTAGAGATGGAAGAATATTCTAGTGACTCAAATTTGCACATACATCATATCATATAGCTACGAGATGAGACTGTCACTTGGGGCCAGTTCCTGATTTAAAAGATTTTCAGTGAATAACAACATTTATTTTAGTTTTTTCTTCTCACATAATGCATGGATTTAGAAGATCTGAAACATCACACAGGATTCCTATGGAGATGTCTCCATGACTTTGCAACATATCAATCAATGCAATGTAAAGAGTAGCTTCAAAACCAGTTTATGAAATGTATGCGACCAAAGCAGCCGTGAGTGAAAGCTGTCATTAAAGGCTATGGTTACAGACTCTAGATAATGACACAGCGAGAGGGAGGGACAGTAATGAGAGGAATGAGGCAACAACATCCTGCTTGTAACTGCTAGAAAAGCACTCGTCCACACGAACATTGAACAAAAATAATGCAAAACAACCACTACTGCTGCCTCTTAAACATTTGACCATAGTTTGTAATGTATCGCTGCAGGCTGCCTGTGCATAGCAACAGAAATGACCTTTGACCTCTGCAGTTCAGCTGCTTTTAAAATATATGAACTATAAGACCACGTTTAGTTGAAAAGCGAGACATCTGCCAGCGCAAACAACCTCAGGTGCTCAAGACATACAGGAACCAATTGAAGCATGAGGACAATCTGGAAAGAGAACTCCTTCTTCTATTTGAGAGCCTTCACGACGGAGGAGTAGGCCATGTGTATCTCCTCATCGCTGGGACAGGTGGAGGAGAACTCCTCTCGGGCATACGCCGCGTCCAGGTATCGCCACAGAGACGTTAGCGAACGAGGGATGGAGAAACCTCGAAACTTCAGACACACCACCTGAGAGCGGGGAAAAGAGAAGCTAAGCGTTGCATTCGTCAACTCTCTTGCTCAAGCATCAGCCTGTTGGCTGTTTGTCTCACTTTGACGATGTGGAGCTTGGGCAGCAGGTTGCAGTCGGCCAGAGTGAGCTGTTGACCGTCCAGAAAGGGGCGGGTGGAGGAAGTGACATCGTCAGCGCTGTTCTCATCGATCTCATCCGGCAGAGGAGAGCTCAGGTAGTCATCCAGCTTCTTCAGGGCCTTCAGCAAACCCTTCTCCAGATCTGCACAAGCAAACAGTTCATACAGCTTCATTTAAAAAAATAAAAATAAAAAAACCCACAAAATGGTTTGACAAGCGCAATTTCCTGTTCCTGTGTTGACGTATTTCCTGTTCAAGGAAATGTCAAGGCTTGTCCTATTTTTAAAAGCCTATAAAACCATTTTTTTTTCTCTATGTGTCATTGATAGGCAGAGGCAGGTGTCATTCACAGTCATTCACACCAACATGAATGTCCAGTCTGATATTCACATGATGTTCGTCTGTTCAGACCAATGTGGAAAAAATGGCAGACATGCTGAATGAAAATGCAGTTCTCTCCGACATTAGGTGGCAATACGATCTGCTTTTTAGGATGCAGATATATGTTTTTTTTTTTTTTCTATTTCTGACACCTGCCTGACACGGAGAAGAAATGAAGATAAGCATGTTTTTAAACAGCCATTCAGATTTTTAAAATTTGTATTTTATGATGTCTATCAAACTACACCAAATACAAGATTACGGAGAGCCGGGTCCAAATGCTACCTCTGCTATTCACGGTTGCTTAGCCAAATAGTGTGTTTGAGAGCGCCACCAAGTCGACTCTTATCAGTGTGATGGGAAAGAGATTAGATTACCTCCTTGTAAAAAATCCTGTTGCATTGAAAGCATGCAAACGGTTTGAAAAGACACATTAACTGTTCATTTCAAATAAACAATTTATCGCACCAAATTTTCGGTTCAAACGTTCGTCTTGGCCTAAACCAGGTGAAAAGCGACGAGGTTCCAGCGAAAAGCAATGTGTCCACATGAAACACAAAAAATGGGATGTGATGGAACACAATTAATCACAAAACCGTTTCTCTCTACTTCTCTCTGTTGTCTCACACTCAAGGGCCGGTCCACTTTTCATTCCATTGATTGTATGCATGTGAAATCAGGAAACGCAAGCTCATGCGAATTTAGCTGTTTTCCAGTATTTTGTGAACTCTGAGCTGTGAATTTGTATCACTTGAAGATATGTGACCAATAGAATATTAAATAGCTCATGTTGTCACCTCTTAGCTGAACTAAATAAATGCACATTTTAAATCTGCAGGATTGCAGCGTTACTGCAGTAAATGACTGAATATTTGTATTATATGTTGAATTATGTATTTAACAAGGAGACAGCAGAGCGCAACATTGCAGTGTCTGCAGTACCAATGAAACAGACAACACAATTAAATGTGTGTGGATTTAGGGTGCATCAAGAGCACTGAGCTTTGGCATTATTCAGACCTTGGACAGTCTTGCACACTCACTTCCTGTTGCATACATGGGACCAGCCCAGAATGTAGTGAAGCTTGTCCTGGTCTGGTCACTTAGCAATCTTTTTAACAAATCTAAAAGAATGAAAACAGTTAGCAGCACTCTTGCACTCACTGTCATTCATCTGCGGGTTTGAATTCTTAATGTAGGCGGAGAACTTTGAGAACACATCCAGACCTGCGGTGTTTGATTCAGGATTGTGAGCTGCCAGCCGTGGGTATCTGTTGTGTCGGATAGAGGGATGAAGAGGAGGAGGACAAGTGGATATTGTAAACATTACAGTTGTGAAATGTAGGAATGGAATACAAACACAAACGCAGTGACATGGAGCCACAGAATGAATGGAAATAAAGCATGCGTTAATGAAGAGAGTTACTTGGGAGGGCAGAGGGTTTCCTCCAGGAACTCTTCTATCTTGTTGGTGTCCGTCTTCACCTCTGTGCCGTACAGCAGGAAAGGAGGCTGAGCCCCAGGAGCCAGATCTTTAAGAACGTCTGGTTTCCTACTCACAAAACAGAGAAAGAGGAATAGCACACCACTTGTTTTCCAGGTGCTACTTGTGCAAAATGCTGAATGCATGTGCTCCTCTCAGTTTGCATGTGCTAAAAGCACACTGTTGGAGATCCCACAATGCAATGCACTTAACTTGACCTTCTATTTCCAGTGTGAATGAAAATGTCTTTTTTTTAATTGGACCACCAATTTTTTTGAATACAGTGCTTATAATGTAACACACTACTGGTTTGAAACGGTAAAAGTCTAGGTTTCGCTTACTTGAATTTATACATTTATGTAACTGCGTTAGGTTTGTGAATGCACAGAAACACCCACCTCTTCATGTCCACGGTGGTCACATTAAAGGTCACGCCTTTCAGCCACAGGACCATGAAGAGCCGCTGAGAGAACGGGCAGTTCCCAATGCTCTGCCCATCGCTTCCTGCCTACACACACATACAGAGGATTAAACACAATTACAAAAAACGTACTTTGAGTTTTGTTTTTGTGAACAGCAAACAGCCACAGCAAGGGATCACATTGCACCCAAACTGTGAATGTGAGTTTGCAGCCTGAATAATTAGTTGCGTCGAGCATGAAGAGTGCTCTTCACATTTACTCTGACATGGATTCAAAAGAAAAACAGTATAAAGACAACACACTTCATGTCACGATAATTTTCGGAATTCGATGAGTTGAAGTAACAAGGTGATATGAACCACATTACAAGGGAAACACATGTTTAAGTTGCTGAGGCAGTTGTATATAAAAAAATCCTAATCCTTCATGAGCAAGCATGGATAGAGGCAAATAATCCAGCAGGTTCAGACAGTTTAGTAGGATTTGGGGCATTTCATCATTTCGTTTAGGGGAGGCAAGTGTAATGGAGGAGCTGTTCAGGTAAACCGCACTCCCCTGCCCGCATGAGCTGCACTGTTGGCTGTGGTATACATTGGTAAATATTGTATTTAAAACACTATAGAGGAGAGCAAACATTGTAAACTGTTAGACAACCTCCACATTTTATTTATAAATGCTACATAAAAAACTGCTCTTATCAAGCCACTTCATTGGGATTTTAACAGTCAACTGAATAATGAAGAGCTCGTAGATTGACTACATTGAACATATATTACATATTAAGACATAAAAATGAAGGAATCGAGGATTAAATCAACCGTAAATGCATCTATTTAACTGACTCTTTGATTTATTTACTTATTTACAATTAAAAAAATAAAAAACTCATTCTATAGCACTTAATAATAACAAGGCATAAAATATTAGGCTATTAATGCAATGAAATGTTCATAATGTAATAATTTTTTCAATTAGTTTAATTGAGAATTTATGTAATATGAGCTCACAATAAAATGTTTTTCACATAATGTAATAGA